AATTAAAGCCTTTAAAAAAGTTGTTTTAAAATCTGTTCATAGTCACTAAAGTTGTGAAGTCCTAAACAAAGTGTTTTGGTTGTTGGCAGCTTAGTTTGTTGAACCCAGAAGTCACAAGCGAGTGATGGATGATAGTGACCTGTCAATCACAAGGTAGGGCGGGCCTAAAATGTGCCTTCCTTTATGTTTTTGACTCTAACAGGTCCAAAATCTTCAGAATTAACAGGTTAGAAATGATAAGACTTAAAAACAAAAGAAAGCAAAACCATCAGCAAAGTGTTTCCTCAGGTCAGAGATCAAATACAGAAGAGAAGAATGCACCTAATGCACTTAAATGGGCTTCTTGTCCACCTCACATGCAGTTTGTGGTCACATCAGTGCAGAGACGCTAACTCGTGCTGCTGTGTGGTTTTTGCAGAAACGTGAGAAGGACGTTACCTCGTGGTCGATATGCAGCTTGTGGTCCTTCCAGGCCTGCAGGGACTGATACACTCCCGTGTCACACTTCACTGTTGCATTAGCCAGGATGGAGCATCTGCAGGGAAACAGATTTGATATCAGTCGTGTTTGGTTAAAGAGCATCGTATCATAACACGGCAGATTTTAAACCAGAACGAAAAAAACAAGCATCACTGACCGGTGAGTGACTTTGACAGAGTTGGGTGTGACCACGGCGTTGGGATCTCCTCCCATCCCGCTAAACTCGTCCTCAGACTCGTCTCTCATTGGCTGATCCCAGCCTGCCAGGCTCTGGTTTCCGGGGTAATTGTTCGTCATGGAGAGAGAGCGGCTGTAACGGTTCCTGGAGTAATTCTTCAGGGCTTTGAACTCTGACAGACAAACACAATCAAGCTCATCACCTCAGCGAACATCACCACTGAGAAGAAGAAGAAGTTTATCATCACACTGCTCTTGCCCTTCACAATAAAATCCACTTCCTGCAGTCTCTATGTACACGTTTACATGCCTCAGTGTTACAGTAATGGCTAAACTAAAGCTCATCATTGACAGAGAACCTCAAATACCTGCATCTCTACCACCATAAGGGTGATGCAGTGCTGTCCTCAGACATTAGAGGTCAGCATCACACCACAAAGCTGTGGCCTGAGAACAACAGCTCTGAAACAGGAGAAACCAGGTTATCTCTCCTGGAAATCTAAAAACATCTTCGCTCACAGCCTCTTCACAAGAAAATTAAAGGAAAGGTTGGAAGCTCTGGTGGCAAGCTGTTGGAAACTGACCTAAAAATAAATTAACTTCTTTATTCGTTACACGGACTTAAGAGTCGATCCTGTTCCTGCTTCAATTTAAGGAATTAAGAAGGGACATTTTACCATGTGTGCATGCTGTGTGCTAAAACAAACCCAGCCTCGTGCACAACAGTCACTGCTCCGAGTGGTACTGTGAACAACAGCTGCAGGACTTTCCCAGTTAAATTTATGCTCTAATGTGACATCTGAACAAGTCTGACAAATGGATTATTTAAACATGTGGGCCTCCAACCACAGAGTTCAAAGTAGCAATCCATCAGACACAGGATCAGCCAAACACACTGCTGAACTCGGAGATAATGATCCGAACCATGACAAGAGTGTGCACTCCTCTAC